ACTCTACGTTTGCTATTTTCCAAAGGTTTTCCATGCCGTTGAAACTTATTCACTTGTATTCACCGCACTTTATTCCTGAATACTCTTTCTTGTTTTATATGTCTTGTTACGTTTCAACGTCAAAGACATCTCCGTCAGACAAAAGTAGAATAAATGTGAAGAATATATAATTATTTAGACTATACATATGTAATAGTACTGACGAAGAAGAAAGGGATAATCAGTCACTGTCTCTTGTTCTTCGTCGCCACTATTACATATATATAGTCCGAAAATAGTTTTTTCGAAATTTCTCTTGGCAAAGCGCGTTAAGACGCGTTTTTTTTTATAAACAGTGGCGGACGCGTCTCACAAACGTTTTAAGAAAAAACCGCGTTCAGACGCGTCTTTTTTAACAAAATTTCCGTGTAAGCGCATCACGGCACGACGCGTTTAGGCGCGTCTTGGAGAATTCTCTAGGCAAAGTGCGTTAAGACGCATTTCTTTTTGAAACCAGTGCCAGACGCGTCGCACAATGACGCGTCTGACAAACGTTTTAAGAAAAAATCGCGTTCAGACGCGTCTTTTTTAACAAAAATTCCAGATGCGTCTAAGCGCGTCACGGTACGACGCGTTCAGGCGCGTCTTGGAGACTTCCTTTGGTAAAGGGAGTTAAGACGCGTTTTTTCTAATAAAAAGTGCTAGACGCGTCTAAACGCATCTCGGTGCGACGCGTTCAGACGCGTCGAACCATTTTTTTCTGAAAAAAACGCGTTTAGACGCGTCTTTTTCAAAATAAACGCGTCAAAACGCGTCTTTTCAGACGCAACGATTTTACATGGGGCAGACACAATACAGAATTTCCTAGGACAATTCGAGATTTGTCTATTCAAAAATAGTTAACTGATTAGTTCAATGAAATTCAACTTTCATACAACAACAAATTGTTTATGCAACAATAACGTTCTTTTTCATTTAAATTCTATCATTGTTATTCATTTCATTTCAAATATTTCAATTTTATCAGGTGTTCGACGAACTAAAGAATTCATATCATTCATGTGGACAATACTTTTAATCGTTTGATCATAATCCTTTATTATCTTAAATTGTCCATGATTCGTAATTTGAAATAATTTATTACCATCCCTATTAACAATTAACCATTCATTTTCAGGTAGAGTACATATTGTACACCATCCTATATTAATTGATAAATTTAATGAATACAATAAAATAGTTAGCCATACATTCCATATATAAAATTGCCATTTCTTATACGGATCTTGTACTGTTAAGCCTAATCGCACGAATAGCATACTGGAAGTAGATAGTCATTGCGTTTAAGTTAGAGAGCATTCGTCGAGAATATCCGGAAAAGGATAATTGCTAAAGCTCCTAGCGCTACGACATATTAGGCTTTGGTTGGTTGGATTATAGTTTGGATTATAGTTTATTGCTAATTGGGAATTATATATGATTATCCCTATTCTGGAGAAAACGTCGCCCGTTTTCGGTTCGATAAACGCGATTATCGACGATGACCATAATGTTTATTTTCTATGCTCCAAGTACAAGACAATTTCATTCAACAAGCAAATTCGTGCATTTGAAATCGAAATATCTGGTCTGTCCATATGCTTACGTCCATATGCGTTTTCATTTTGCTGATCAATGTATTGTTCGTTTGTTATGACGTTGTTTTGCTCGTATGTAGAAAAAAGTAAATAAACACTATTCAGAATATTTTTATTTTAATTTTGATCGCACGAATAGCATACTGGAAGTAGATAGTCCAGAAGTGTTAATCTAGTATATGTTTGTTTTCATGTTGTAGACATAGTTGAGAAATGCACAACAGCTATATTCGAATCCTAATTGAATGTGGTAATGATGACGAAGAAATAATTCTACCCAACGGAAGCACATTAGCAAGTGCCCGCTCCAGAATAATTCAGCAAACGAAATTCCAACTGTCCGAATTGTGCCATTTTCGTTTATGGTGCGATAAATTTAAAAAATATCGAAATAACCTCGAGTTTGTCATATTAAAAGACCTTGACAAGGTCGAAATAATAAAACCCGACGCGCTCCTCGATCGACAAGTAACAATACCAACAATAACAGATTTGAGTTATTCGCACGTTGCGTCGATAAGTACTCGGCCTCCGCTTCTGGATAGATTGAATAATCCATACTTTTATACACAACAACCTCAAATCAGCAAACAAACAATGAAGAATTATCGATGTATCCCGATCATTTCAGTTATGATGTGATAAATGATGGTAGGATTTGTCAAGATGAGAATATGAAAGAAGTCGACTGTTTATCATCACCGCAA